CTAATTCAAGTAAATGGTGAACTGACTGCATACATGAACTGTTAATTTTTTGTCAGCAGAAAGCAGATGTCCTGCCTTCCCTGTGAAAGAGGGAAGTAAGAAACGATGAAGAAAAGGAAGGATTGTGAGTGTTGTACAAAGAAAGTAAGAGTATGTCAAAGTCTCAAACAGGCAATATTGGAGAGTGTTAAGAAAATAATGACAAAAATTGCCAGCAGCCACAGTTCTTCCTAACAACTGCAGTCCAGCTATACAATTGGTACTTCACGCTACAGCCTGAAATTTCGGTGCTTTGTCCCTCACGCACCAAGGGTCCATTGCAAAGCACCAGAAAGGACCTGGAAGAAGCCTTGAGCACTTACAAGATCTTGTAAGGCATGAAAGGCATCAAGGGGCTGGATTTCTACTACAGCTGCAGCACCGTCGCTTGCACTGTTTTGGCCAGCATTGCTCTCAAACACAGAACTTCTTTTCATGAAGATGACACCAACGGTGGTACGAACCTCATGGCAGCTCTGTTTGCTGCATTTTAGATTCATGCCCCTTGTCAGCAGAGTCTTCAACAGTGAACACCAAATCTGTAAACAGCACCTAGTTCTTTCAGTGAAAAAATAACCTACAATATCACTCTGGAATTACATCTATGCATATTGTCAAGATGTACTTTGAGCCAAATTTCGCTTTGCGTGTTACTTGTATATGTCAGAATCTGTCTTGCACAGACATGTGAAGTGGTGAAATGGTAGGCATGAAATATTCAGCATGAGATTACGAAGGAGCAATGCAGAGGCTAGCCCTCAGGTAGCACAATATTCTAGAATTCACAAAAAAATAATTAAAATCAGTCATGTACCTCAGAAAGCCAAATATGACAGCTGTTCTTTTATATGTTGTGATCTCTGATCAGAGTTCATTTTATAGAGAGAAAGTGATTCATAGTAATTAGTACTATTTTGATATTATTTTTAACTTTAACCTGGTTTCATCAAACCCTTCAAATTCGTCCTCCTCCATTTAAATAAAAATTAGGGTAACATAGTGTCTTCTTGGTTGTGCAAAATGAAATTTATCTTCACAGCCATACCATAAGGTTTTAAAGAAAATAGCAGCTAAAGCAGTTCAAAGCAACCATGGCCTGAATTTTCCAGCACAAATGCCTAGAGAGAGGCACTTAAGATGCATATTTAGGTATTAAGAAAATGTTACAGCCAACTGACGTAAAAAATGTGGTTAGTAAATAAACTGCACCATCTGTACACTACAACCATTGCTGTGTTTATCTCATCAGGAAGGAATTTATAAGATCTTCTTTTAATTTAAAGTTACTACATCTAAAATAGAACTATTTTTGTAAAGTACTTCACTTTACCATTCAGTATGCTAGTTTTTGGCCCATTCTACTTCTGCCTCAGCATCCTCTACTACTTTTTCCCATTTTTATGTTCCTAGTGTAGATGAAATGCCTAAAACCTAGTGCCACACATTAGTACTCAAAAAGCAGAAGTTCAGATTATTCCTTGCCTACAAATCAGTCTTCTAATCCCCTCCCTGCCTCACTTTCTAGCACAGTCCATTCCTACATTTTGTTAGTCTTTGATATTTTCAATTTTTGTCAATAGCAAAATGTGAAAAAGCAACACTGTCTTCCATCTTTACCTTGAGGCTTATTAAGCTGCAACACAGCGAACAGCAGCTTGCCCCTGTTTAACTTCTCTGTTAACAGATGTGTCTTTTCCCTTCCCACATCAGGATAGTTAACCTTGGTATAAGTCACCTTAAACACAGAGAATAATGAACAGATTGGAGGTTTTTCCCCCCATTTGATTTTTTTCTTTTGTATCTTTTTAAATTTATTTTGCCTAATGATGGAATAAGAATACAGATGTTAAAACAAGGTTGCAATGTGCAAGACAGAAAGAAATACCTGAAGAGAATTGTAAATACTGTAATTCTGTCAAAGTCCTTGGTGTGGGATGCCACCGAGTCCACTTCTGAAATATTTAAATAAGGTTGAGAA